TATATATACCGTATTCATTTGAATAAACACTCAGGGAATTTATTGTTCAGAATGGTTTTTACATAATGATGTTATATTTACTTTTTGTTTTGAGGGTATATTAAACAGGCCTTTATTTACCTAAGGTCCACCTCACAGATGTTTTTGCCAAGCTCCCACAAAAGGTAGCATGGAACGTACATAAACAGGTGAATTTGTGAGACAAGTGTGTGTTTGTGGGACAGTTGGGTAACCTCAGCAATGTTCTGATTGGTCAGTTAAGTTTGATTAACTGACCAATTTCATAGAAAGATCAGTTGTAGAAGATGAGAAAAACTTACAGTATGTCCATGTTTTTGTTTATTTTATTTATTTTTTATTTAAAATTCTCATATAACAGCGGGAACCCTTCACTTACAGAATGGAACTACTTAAAATGGAAAGTACTTATATGGATAGATGTAGTCAAAATTACTTTTTATAAGCTTTGGGATTTATTTTTATCACCTTTGTTATAGACTGGAAGCACATCTTTATACGTTTTACCTTCCATTATCATTGATGTTTCCATTTCCTCTACATTCCATCGCTCATCATTCCATCAGTACAGTACATCAATTTATTCTTCCCTCCTTGACACTGCCACGTTCCTTTCTCCATTTGTCGCAAAATTGTATTCACGTTTTTAACCAGACCTTTCGCTGTGTTTTCTTCAGAATTGTAAAATTTGTCTGTTACAGGCAGACAGTGGTATAATAGCTATGAGCCAGGTGCCTAGACCTATGAGGCCACTGGAAGTCAAGGGCCCAAAACAGCGGGACCTCGATCAGGGCCTTGGGAGGTTCAACGAAATTTGTTTTGCTCCAATTCAGCTAAGCAGGGTTCTTTATTAAGCAGAATGTGTAAACAACATGAAAGGTATGCCCTTAAAACATCAAAAATTCCCCGTGCCCCAGGGCTCTACCCAGACCCAAACCCCAAGTTAGCAGAGCCGGAAGAAATAAGCCAGGCACAAAGGCCTCTTTGTTATGTCCCTGGTCACACACATTTAAACACTAGCCAGTTATTCACTAATTCAGATACAAATTTGTTGCATGCACAGTGGCGTAATAGCTGAGCCAGTTGCCCACACCTATGAGACCACTGGAAGTCATGGGTCCAGAACAACAGGCCCCAGGAAGTTAAACATTTTTTTGCACCAAATCAGCTAAGCGGGGCTTTTTATTAAGCAGAATGTGTAAACAACATGAAAGATATGCCCTTAAAACTTCAAGAATGCTCCGTGCCCTTGGGCTCTACCCAGATCTAAAGCTCAAGTTTGTAGAGCACGAAGGAATGAGCCAGGTGCCTAAGGGCTCTTTGTTATGTCCCTAGTCACAGACATTTAAACACTAGCCAATTATTCACAAATTCAGATTGTTTTAATCATGTCTTTGATAAATTTTAACACATTAACTTTTCTATATAGTACAGTACTATGTTTCAATATTTTTTTCAGGATAAATGCAATGTACAAATATCAATTCTATCTCAATGAACATAAACGTTTGATGCAAAATGGTAAAAAAATAATTTGTTATAAATTATTTACAGATTATATACAATAATAGATAGTATCATTAGTTTAGAAAGATCTGTACAATATTGTATCATATATTATTATTCAAGTATTATATTCATATATTATATTCATATATAATGCTTAAAAAAAACTTCTAAAGAAACATTGGTAGTGTATGAGTCTATTATCCATACTTAAAATGTACTCTATACAGAAACAAAGTCATACATGTGTGGTTAATATTATAGGCCTACAGATATTATTATTAGAATCGTACAGGTTTGCACAATTGAATAACATAATACCAAAACTAGTGATGCATACTAATGGAGGTTAGTAAGAAATTATTTTTAGTTCATAATTATTGACATAACAATTGCTGCAGTTCTATAAAAATACCAGGAAAATTGTGGTTGCAAGAACATTGACACACAAATTTGTAGATAATATTTTAGGTTTTTGAGTGTCCAACATTTCAAATATAGTTTTTAAATAATTTAAAATATATTTGAAGGATTTTGAGGCTTGGACTAATGTTCTATGATTAATTTATATTTATTTTTGTCTTTTTTATTTTTCTTGTTTTTTGTGTTTCGGTTAAGGACCACAATGGAATGAGCACTTCTGAGCTTTTTTGTGATTTTTTGTTGTGAATTTGTGAAATCACTGAATAAATTGAAATGAAATGAAATGATTGTATACTCTCTTAAAAAAACTTACATAAATATTTTATTTGCAAAATATCACTTTTTTTTGCTTTTTTTTGTAATTAAGTAGGCATACTTTTTAGTAATTGAGATTTTCAAAGCATTTATTGAATGCAAAAATTATGTTACAATATTAATGTTGATACATTTGGGACTTTCACATTTGGTTACTTGATGTAAATCAAGTTAAAATGTACTAAAAGTCTTAAGCAAACTGTTAAAAGTTGTCAAAACACATGAACAATTAAAGTTTATTACATGTGTACTGTACCTGTTTTACATGACAGAAAGGTACTACCGTAACTATTAAAAAATTCTAGAAAGGTATAAGAACGCATATTCTTGTAAGAATATAGTATCTTTCATCTCAGTAAATTCACACAGACCTCATGTTCCTGAGATATTCAGCAAGGATCTGTGTGCGTGGTAACAGGGCTCAGTTTATCTTTCACTTTGACTTTGCGCATATCGTCTCTGTCTTTTTATCAATTGTACAGACACACTGTCTCTTATACACATCTAGATGTGTATAAGAGACAGCAAACATAGGGTTTGTAATTCTTATTCATGGGCCGCAAAAAAATCACTGGCAGGCCGCATGCAGCCCGCGGGCTGCACTTCGCCCACCTGCGTCTTATACAGACAACACATAAAAATGTATAAATCATGTTCGCCTTAGGTGCTGTTAGTATGAACAAATGCAATTATTGCGAGGAAATAACATTTTGATGAACATTTAAAAAGCCGTAAAAATACAGTATTATTTGAAAGATTAGCCCTCTTTTGAATCCGTTTTAAGCTAGCTAGACGCAGTATAAAGAGAAGCAAAAAGTAGGAATACGGACAATGATACAGAGGGTCGTTTTATACGTCAAACACACAAAATGTGCAGATCGTCAGTATATAAGTATATTCGGTATGTCACAACAATTTTATTTGTTTATGTTGAGCCGTTGGCACATTAAAAACATTATTGTCTGTCTCTTATACACATCTAGATGTGTACTAATGCGGTGAAACCTTGAGGTAACCCTCTATATCTTCTTTTATGGTCTCTTGTTGCCCTTTAGATTGATGTGCTAATGGAAGCTTTGAGTGGATCGGTGTCTCGGCATACGGGGTAGGTGCCGCCTCCTCCTGTTCTGCTGATCTGCCACTTGCCATTGCCATGTATCCGTCGAGTACAAATGACGAAAGCGGTTCATGTTCATTTTTCGTTGCGAGCGTATATGATTCGTTACGCGGTACATTAACATACACGTATGTATCTTGTGAGGTTGGGGTTGCTGGGCTCGATTCCAGAACATCTGACAGTTTTTTGGCAAGGCCATCAAAGGAGGGTCTTGACTGTGGGCTGAAAGCCCAACATTGCTGCATGATATGGTACCTAAACACAAGCAAAACCAAATAATAAAACAACTATTCATTTACATAATAATTTTGAGTAATAGGTAAGAATGCACCTTGAAAGAAAAAAAGTTTCAACAAAAAAATAACAATATTCTCATTCATGAACATGATTAGGAATTATTAACAAAATAAAATGTAGCAAAGATGTACTTGGTGGTTAAGATGTTTGCCTCCCAACCTCAGGGTTCTAGGTTCAAATCCTGTGACTGCCCTGAAGCCTCGTAATGAGACTACGCTGATAAAAAGCATCACATTATTTCATTTATTTAAGAGGCGTGCTCTTTTATACCCTCTATAAATATAGTTTAAAAACCCCCAACAAATACATGCAACTGGAATTTTACCTACAATCTGATGAATAACTAATGTACTTACACTTCGTCAGGACAGAACTGAGGCTGTGGAAGACGACGACCTTGTGCAAGGTACCTATTAATATCCCAGTTATCTACAGCAGGGTATGGAGTTATACCTCTTGTCAGCATTTCCCACATAACAACACCAAATGACCACTACATAAAGAAATTTTTTAAATGTTATTACACTACTAATATTATTTTATAATAAAATACTTTTAGTGGTGGTAATTTCTGGTGTTCCTCTAAACTTGCCACAAGTTATTATTTATTAATATTTACCTCATCTGGAATGTCACCAATGAACAATTAAATTTTGCGGGTATTAGAAATAAAAAATAGAATTATGATACTGTAATATTGTCACGTATAATATACAAGGCTTAAAATAGCAAATTACGATAGAAAAATAGGGGGGGGGGTTGTCTTATACCAGGGGTGGGCATTAAAACTGGTCGGAGGTCCAAAGTGAATTTTTAATTCAACTCCTAGGGCCGCACCCAAACTTTGATGAAAAACCTTCATACACTGTTTTATGGCCATTTTATGCTCAGTTTTACTATTAATTTTTACAATGATCGGTGCCAGACCGCAAAAAACAAGGTGTTTTCAAGCCAAAGGTGGTTGGCGGGCCACAAACATAGGGTTTGTAATTCTTATTCATGGGCCGCAAAAAAATCACTGGCAGGCCGCATGCAGCCCGCGGGCTGCACTTCGCCCACCTGCGTCTTATACAGACAACACATAAAAATGTATAAATCATGTTCGCCTTAGGTGCTGTTAGTATGAACAAATGCAATTATTGCGAGGAAATAACATTTTGATGAACATTTAAAAAGCCGTAAAAATACAGTATTATTTGAAAGATTAGCCCTCTTTTGAATCCGTTTTAAGCTAGCTAGACGCAGTATAAAGAGAAGCAAAAAGTAGGAATACGGACAATGATACAGAGGGTCGTTTTATACGTCAAACACACAAAATGTGCAGATCGTCAGTATATAAGTATATTCGGTATGTCACAACAATTTTATTTGTTTATGTTGAGCCGTTGGCACATTAAAAACATTATTGTTCATAGAATTTAATTCTGACCACAAGAATTCCAAGATTTAATAGTAGACTCTTTTACAAAGTACATATTGTACAGAATAATCAGTAAACACTACAAGTTTTAGTAACTTACAACATCAGTCTTTGTATTATAAATATTCCTCTCCAGACACTCCAAAGCCATCCACCTAACTGGAAGTTTAGCGTTTTTATCTTTGGCACTATAGTAATCTCGCTCGTAAATATCTCGAGAAAGTCCAAAATCTGCAACTTTGACAGTCAGAGTTTCGTCCAACATGCAGTTTCTAGCCGCAAGATCACGATGAACAAATTTCAAGCTGGCTAAGTATGACATCCCACAAGCAATGTGCAAACTGAACACTAGCAATTCACGCGCTGTTAAATCCTGAAAAACAATAAGAGAAATAAAATAAATACAATTCAATTTGAGAGCGTCTACGTACTGAATTATATTTTTATGTTAATGATAAATCAATGAACAATAAAGTGTCGATTGGATGTGCCCTCCTGGTATTTCAACTGTAAACCAGTGGCGTGTCTAGATTGACATGGGGATTGATGGGGGACGTGGGACGTGAGGCATGCTATTATACACTTGTGGGGGGGGGGGGGGGGAAAGGCGAAAGTGATTTTTGATTATTTTGCTCATATCTGGGAAAGATGAATCTCAGATTTCCCCCACATCTGGATCTGCCCCTGACTGCTATAAATTGTTTTCACGTATAACTCACATATTTAGGATCCCGGATGTATGTTAAGAGATCACCATGTTTCATAAACGGTAGTATGACCAGTGGTACCCCTTCCTTGTTGATACAGACACCGATGAGGGCTAGAACATTCTCATGTTTAAAGTCCTTCATCATCATTCCCTCCTGGAGGAAGTGGACCATATCCTGTTGAGCGCTGCCAGGCAACAAGCATTTGATGGCTATCTCGTTCACCTCTCCAGATTTCGTCTTGTGCGATCCTTGATACACGCTGCCAAAATGCCCTAATATGGAAAAACAATAGGAACTTGTATTTAAACAATAGGATACCATAATTATTAAAATAAATGCTACGTGGAATTTATTATTAAGAAGGGGATTTAGAGGAGGTGTTTATTTGAGAGAGGCATTTTTGGTGTAAAAATGGATACATTATACTCAAATAAACGCCCCTTAATTCCACTGTAAATATGAACTACATTACTGTGAAAATGTGCTATTGTTTGATCATAAAAAGATTATTGATCCCAACCGGGTTAGAAAAATGTAATTCCACTGGAGTAAGACCTCAATAGAATGTGTTGCAAATGATGTTACTTCAATTAGTTTTTGTGGGGGTGGGGTGTTTATTTTAGGAAAATATATATTTCCGGGATGTTTATTCCAAATTATGATCTGGAGGAGATGTTTATTCAAAGCAGGGCATTTATTTGAAAAAATATGGTAGTTGTTTTCTGTCTTCTTGTACTGTTGTTAAATATTATATATTAATCAAGTATAACTTGTGACCAATAAGATTGCTGTTGATTTGGTGAAAAAAATGTAAAAAGAAGAAATACTTTAGTTTTTATTGCCATTAATAAGTGATTCATTCACAAAAAAAAAGAGCTACCTGTATAGACATACCTTTTCCTATGATGTTTTCAATAACAAAACTATCCTCCGGAATTAGGATTTCCTGAATTTGCATTCTCATTTCTGTGCTGATGATGGATAAAAGCGGTTTCTTTTCCCGTTGACGGAATGATGGATTCTCTGTATACACTGTAAAATAAGTTAATAACATACTATAAGTAATTAAAGAAATTTGAAATACAATAGAAATCCAAATATAAATGATTGTGAAAGGAACATTATATTAATGAAATCTTTGAAACACATCAAAAAACACTTAATTTGGAAATGATATAAAACAGGAGAATAAGAATTGAGGCCATATATAGCTACCAGAAATGTATGAACCCATCATGATATTGTTTAATGTAATTTCCTTTTAAATTCTACCAATCTCTTATAAACAAAATGACATAATTATAAATTACTATTAAAAAAACATGATAAAAATGAGGCTGATAATTTGGTAGAAAATTACTATTAAACACAATAGGCTAATTCTAGATATTTAGACATTATAAAAAATGTAGCATGCATACAAATTCATGGTACCATGCATTGGGAAAATAAATAAACAATAAATACATACAATCCTGTGTCGTTAAATTATTTGTTTTTTTTATAAAGTCCTGTCCAAATTTTTTATTTGACAAAAACATGTGAATGGTGATGATGACAACACATCATGACCACATATAGGCACATCAATATATATATATATACAGTATATGGGCATAGAACAGTTTTTTGTCAAAGAAAATTTGATAGTCTGGAAAGAGCTTTATTGGATTTTATTAGGTACCCATAAAAAGCTCTACAAACAGAATAAGAACAGATAATTATGAACTTTGATGCACTGATCATTAATGACCTTCGATGCACCTAATTTAAGGGTTGGGTGTGCAGACCTAATTATTTGGAACTCATAATACTTATTAAAGCCCCATTCCCGGCAAGATTTCAGTTGTTAAGGAAAATCTGAATTTTATATATGTTATAAAGATTTATAAATGTAATACGAAATTGCTAGTATAACTGAATTTAGACATTCCTAAACATAAAAAAAATGTAAAATAAGACTGAAATTTGATTTTTTTTGTGTTCAACACAAAAAATAAATGTGGATGGATTTTTTTTTTGTTTATTTTGCGATAGGTCTGCGAAGAAACATAGTAGGCGCCAAAAACATTAGCCTATCCAACACTGCTAGGCTATAGCCTAGATTTACCACAATTTAGGTTCTGTTATCACACATAAAAATGGCCGACATGATATTTTCCGTTGCTAGTATTGACATTTGTGAAATTATTTCAGATCTGTTTAAAAAAATGATTCTGACCGAGATTTTGACAATTAAACAAACATATCTCAGGCCTACTCGATCAATCGCAGTGTGCAAGATGCGAAGTACAAAAATCAATTCATTGACTGTATAAAGTATACATAAAAGCCAGAGCATTCCAGCGGATGCGATCTACAACCTCTGAATTTGCCTAGTAACGAAGAATTCGTCGAGAAAATGGTAATTCTGCTATGAGAAATAGTCTGTATTTCTCTTTTTCTTTATTCTTTTGCGTAAAATTAAAATTTATGCCAATATTTTTCCATTGTTTATAATGAATAGAGTAAAGCATATGCATCTTTTCTATAAAAAAAAAAAAAATCTTTTTTAGTGAAATTTTGCTGGGAATGGGGCTTTAAACCAACTTATTTGTTTCTTTTTGCAGATTAGTGTCAACACCTGACAAAGTGATATATAAATGTAGTATGTTAATAAATAACATGGAAGTATAACATGTTACACTTTCATGTTATAAAAGAGGAACTAGTAGGAATCTTGTACAGGGACATGTTCCTTTTTTGCTTACCAGACTCTTTACTTTTAAATTTTGAGAGAAATAAAATTATGAAATTATTATGAGAGACAATTTTGTAAACAAAATTATTACAAATCAAGAAGACAAAACACACAGTCATAAGTAAAGTTAAATTATAGAAAAAAAATGTCAAATCCACCTCAATGCAAACATGACAAAACAAAATCAAAATCACTCCAATAAATCTCATTCATCAGGTATTATATATAGAGAGGTTTCACTACACTTTGTAAAGAAGGTTAATTGTGATAACATTATCCATTATTATTATTATTCTTTACTCAATAATATTATCATCAGAAAATTCCAGGTTATGTTTTGGCCTGAGAGAACAATGCATGACCACATCACATTTCACAAATCACAATGCATTGTACTTTATTGATTTTAGTTCTATAGGTTTATTTGTGGTTTGTAGAATATTGACATTACCTAGAATAGGTTGTCAATTTTTATCTTTTTAAACCATAAATGTATGTTTATTGAAAAACTAAAGCACACACATCCTGTAAACAGTCTTCTTGTGCTAATAAATAAATTTGAAGTAGGCCTATCAGACACCCATTTATACTCCAACGCAAACACTAAAATGCCTACCCCAGCAACACAACCAAAATTCACAGAGAGAATTAAAAACCCTAAACCCAAAGAGAGCCTGGGCATCAACCACTTGGTCCACCGTCAAGTATACTGGAATCCTAGTCGGCATTTAATTACTTGGCTGTGCACAACAGTTTCAGAATAGATAAGTGAGTAGCACATAACACTGATATGCACTGAAATTTTAACAATTTTGTGGCAAAATGGAGGCCCTCTACTAGATCTGCCCATGAATGTAATGAAACCTATTTAACATTTACAGTTATTGTCACACCATCTTTGTGCAGCAAAGAATACAAAGTGTTCGACAACAAGCAAAAAGAAACTGTTTTCACCTGTGTGTCATGATATCGTGTGAGTGATGATATATTGAAAGAACAAAAAACAATATGATCAGTAAAATTTAATTTTAAAAAAAAATCAAAGAGAATGTTCAAGCAGAGAGAAGAAATAGCAAACACAAATTAGTAAAAAGTACTTTTTTATTTTGTTCTTACTTGACTTTATTAGAAGAGGATGCTGCTCCTCTAAAATGGTACCGTTTGCTGCTAGTTGAGAGCAACATCCAAAAAAGAGGGTTTAAAAAAAACCACTAATAAGCACGCAAATGATAGGAAATCAAATGACTGCATAAAAGCATTGGGATTGCAAAATATATTTTATGTTTCAGAGGGATTGCAGATAATTGGGAGAAAAGCAATACAACAAGCAACAAGTGGACTACACAGCATTATACTGATAATGCTGTTATTGATAATGGTGTTGTTGATGATGGCCCAATAAAGGATAAAAAATAAAACAATAAAGACTACTATTATTATTATCATCACCAATAGCATCTAATCATTGTAATTAGTATTATCTTATCAATATCCAGTGGATGAAGTTGCAGAATAAATAATGAAATATTACTTACATTTTTGAAAATGTATGATTATCAAAATTATTATCAATATTAAAAATGTCATTATTATCATTACATTATACCTGTCTCTTATACACATCTAGATGTGTATAAGAGACAGATGTTATAGCTAAAATGTAAGTTAAGTAAACAGCCAGATAAATAAGTATGTATTATTCACATATAATATTATTATGCATATAACAAACAAGGCCTTACTATTAGATGTGGTCGAATCGAGACGGTAAGTCTCAGGCCTGAAGTGTACTACGGGTTCGTTTTGCATCAGTTGCTTAGTGCGCAACCGCCGCTTGTAGAGCATGATAAGGACAACGACAATGACGAACATGACGATACAAGATGACGCGGTGACGAGAATGTAGTGCCAGTACTTTGGTGAGTTATTAAGACTATCGATATACAATAGCCTGCCAATGTCATACTGTAGATTACCGACAGTCACCTGAAAATAAATTAATAAACTTTATGTCTAAAAATATATATATAAATGCATTGTTCAATTTTGTGTTAGGCTAATTATTATTTGAAATTCAAATGCTTAGTTTTAATAATAATAATAATAATAATAATAATAATAATAATAATAATAATAATAATAATAGATGGACTTATGAAAAGTACATGTTTAAGTACATTAACATACTAGCTATAAATAGAAAATTTAACTTAACAAAATTCTGTAACCAAAAGCAAAGACACTTAAAAATGATAAGTATAACTATTATTATTATATAATTATTGACTTTTTAGAAATTAAAGAAATTAAAGTGATTGATAATTTAAGAATGTTCATATTAAAATGCCTGTAAATCAGCAATTAATTATTTCTGTCAGTGTCAGTGAAAGTTGAAATACTTAATCTAGATTAATTGTAGGTTAACTTTTTTTGAACTAATAAAAGTTAACTTAAATCAAATCAAGATTTTTTTTAAAAAACTGAATAAAGTTAAATGCTAGGAGAATAACCTTTAACTCGCAGTGGACTTGTGTATGGTCGTGGTCCGTGACTACTGTAGCAGCCATATAAAGGCGATAGGGGTTAAAATGAACCCCTTGCTCTTCCGAAAAATGCAATGGGTTTTTTAAAGTGCACTAGAGCCAGATGGATACACTAGATCTCTTATTTTTAAGTCCTTATCTGAGAAGACTTGGTTCTACCAACTTAACAATTGGTGTCAGAGAAGTTCGAACCAGTGCTGATGTTTAGTGTGTAGTTAGCGGCACCCCTCCCTTACCGCTCTGCCATTCAAATCAAAGACTTTGACAAGATATGCATTCATGCTAAGTGGGATACTGAATCACACCTACCGTTACAGCATCAGTTTCACTACGACCTTGATGTAACTCAGGAGGGTCGCATCTTAACATTGTATACAACAATTCAGTGATGTTACACACACTACTACCAACTGTCACTAGTACATCGCTAGGAGTAGCTGCTAAGTTCAGATGATCTCCCTAAAGACAAGGAAATGAGTACATGATCATTAAAAAAAATATATCATTATATTAATTACAATTACACTTTTATAGTGTCATTATTAAATATGTATACATTTTTTGGTACCATGAGTAAGTTTGCTGTGCATGTATCACATTTCTATGCTTAATGAAATATAAACATTCTGAATTATTTCATTCAGACAATTTTGATTACTTGTATTAAATACAGCAAATAACAATAATGCAGTATTTTGATTGGCTGTAATACAGTATTTTGATTGGTTGTACAATGCAACAACTTGATTGTACAATGCAAAAACTTGATTGGTTGTAAATAATACAGGAATCTGATTGGTTGTAAGTAATGCAGCCTTTTGATTGGATTTATGTAATGGAACATTTTATGGGTTGTAATGGAGCCTTTTGATTGGTTTACGTTAATGCAGCAAATTTGATTGGTTGTGTGTAATGCAGCTTTTGATTGTTTGAAAATAGTTGCGATGCAGTAGTTAATATTTTTTTATAAATGAAAAGATTTATTTCTTACAGGGAGTAGATTCCACAGATAAATTTCTATATTTAAAAAAAACCAAATTGATTATGAAAATTGTAATAAATGCACTGAATTACCATAAGTAATAAGTGATTTGGCAGATAAAATCCTACATTACAAAAACAAATTAATTATCAAGTCATAGTATTTGCAATGAATTATCATACCATAATCTCTAGTGGATAAGTGTGATCTTTAAGTTGACGGATGTTGTCTGTATCCTTAAATTTATAGTAGATGGGATCAGTGACGTAATCAATTTGAAAGCCCTCTAAATCAGTTTCCGTATCATTGACGCCCGTGGAATTGTCCATCTGCAGAGCATTGTCAACATTGTCTAAAATGAAGGCAACATCCACAGTTGCCGGTGTTGCAACCCCGGAGCTGGAAATATTGGGTGCATCACACGTCATCATTGTGCCGTTAGGGTTAGGTGTACAAACCTGTAGAGGCAAGTTGTGAAAGTCAATAAAGTTTCTATAATCCTAACAACAATTAATGACACATAATTAAAAAATAATAATAATAAACATAAAACAACAAGAACAAGAAAAATTAGCTCCCTCTGGAACAAAAAAAATCCATCTCTGGGAAAAATTCCAAGTTACAGATACTAATTTTTGACACACAACTTCAGCCACCACCAGGCAGCAAAAAAAGTGTCATGATAATATTTTTTAACCTAATCGTTTGAGGTGGTGGCCCTTACACCATATGGGCTATTTTACAGTCTCAGTATATGTGGGCTGTATTATGCTGTGCTCTTCCAGCTTATATTAGTGATGCCGCCCTCTTGTGGTTATGATGTAATCTAGTGTAGTGTTCTGTTAACATAACAAAATATCATTGTGTAAAGCTAATACCTTCAAGCCACCACCACTAATCTTTGTATCCTGTGAGCATCCCCTTCCCTATCAATAATCATAGTTACACCACTGCAATTTCCAACTTGCCATTCCAAAACGAACATCAGTGACCAAAAAATGGAAACTCGCTTTTTAATTTATTCTTATTCTCCCAATGTAATTTTCAAAATGATGGTCATTTATTTACTGGAATCGACTTACTATTTTCAAAATTCTCTGTACTACGGTATATCTGCCACATTTTTATCCTAATTACTCAAGCTTAAAAATTTGCAACAGTTTTGGAATGGCAATCCTCATATGTAAAAACGAAATGATGACGAAATGAAACCTAATTTTAATGATAAAAAAAATAGTTATATACCGAATCATAATTGTGGAAAGTTGATCCCATATAGACTGTTACTACGATAAGTGGTTCCATAATTATATGTAGGTTAGTGCCAAACACGTTCAATGTTAAACCACCGCTGTTGTAGAGAAACAAAATTACAAAGACATCATTATTTAGTAAGTGAAAGGGTTATAAAATCCTTTTGAATATTCATTCTGATTGATTGTCTTATCACACTTTGTCAAAAATGTAATCACTTCAAATACATATCTCATATATAAGAAATGAATATAGTATTGGCATAAATTAATAGTTACATATTAGAAAAGGTCAAATGATCAAATGAGGTAAAGCAAAAAAAAGTGAAAGAAATGAAAGGAGACAAATTAATGTGTAAAATGAAATAAAATATTAATAATTACAATTTTATGGAAAGGTGGACAAAATGATTACCCACTATTAATGTGATCTTCACTTACTTCAAAACAAGCAAATTGTTGGATACTGAATTCTAGTAATAGGCATAGTTTTGTGTTATCTAAATAGAGTGATGGAACAGATGGGGAACAATGACCACATACTGGAGAAGGGGAACAAGGGTTCCTCCGTGTACCAACCATTTCCACCGTTCCCCATCACCTCCCCTATGCATCCCTGTTTCAAAATCTGTGTTTGTTCTTAGCAAACCTCACCTCAGAAATACTTTCTTCGGCTGTATATCATATATAACTGGATCATCTATGTAATAATATTCTTCCAATGTAGATTTTGTTGTGTCAGAGTCGAAGATAATGGTTATTGTAGATGACATTGGTACCATATCGGGAGCCCCTAATGTGACACAAGTTATTTCACTGTCTTTTACCCTAGGAGAAAAAAACACACCATCATAACTTTTGGATAAGCTATGAAATTACTTTAATCTGTAACTAAATATATGTTTCAGTTGTTAGGAAAATTAACAATCACAAAAATATTTTAAATTTCTACTTCCATTTAACTTTAAGGATAAATTGTAGTAAAAGATTTGTAGAATTGACTTAAATAAAAAAAAAAAAATTATTTGCACATTAAGAGGATTAGATAATTATTCAATTCAATTCAATTCTTTTATTAGAATATCAAAAATAAAAGCAAATGCTGAATTAAAATGATATGTACAAGAAATTTAGCATAAAACATCAAAAACTTAAAATTGATACTTTTATTGTCTTGTTGCCGATCTGATTAATGTGAATTTTAATTTGTGATATTTCTTGGCAATTTGAATTTACTGTTTACCTTTGTGTATTTCAACTTGTGTGTGATGTTTCATGACAATTTGAATTTACTGTCAAACTTTTATTTTTATGCAAATATGATTGACTTCTAGCATTCTGTTAAAATTTTAGCTTCCTATTATTTTAACTTTCTCTTTTATATTGTAAATTTTTATTCTTTTCTATTTTATTGTAATGCGCACTAGAACATATTCTAATGAAATTTGTGCAATATATATGGATAAATAATAATAATAATTATTATTATTATTATTTTATTATTATTATTATTAATTATAAAATTTATAATTTTATTATCAAATTTTCCATAGGAAAGACAATTACAAATAAATTGTATAGAACTCACAGTCATATAATACACTTTCATCATCATTATTACTTATTACTAATATCTCGTCTCTCATGCTGCTCATTTAAATTTACTTGAATCATTGGAATATATTCAGTTACAGAATAATACAAAAAAAAATTCAAACCTGGTTATTTCACATTCATCACCAGCAATCATTACTTCACGAGAGTTGCCGGTTGAAAGATTCGTCCCATAGATGCTAACAGTGGTGCCCCCTGAAATGGGCCCATACGGAGGATAGAACTCAACAATTATAGGATCCTAAAAAAACAAAAAAACAAACTTAAGTTTTAATACATGAGCTCATAAAAATTACAAACTTATTAATTGCTGTGCATAATTGAGTGGTTCCCCCTGGCATGGATCCATACAGGTGATATACCTTATCAATAAAAGTATACAGTGAAAACTACAGGTTTACATGCTCATAAAAATACCAACTTATTTCTTGCTTTGCACACTGAAAGTGAAAGACTGACAATAAATTATTGTCATGTTTGTTAAGTGCTAATATATGAACACTTTGCACTCTTTTAGTGTTTTCTTTTCTTGTTGGCCCTATAGAGCACAATTTAGCAACCTGCGCAATTTAGAGACCTGACAATGGACTGTGGTTACTAAGTGTTTGAATAATGATTTTGTTGGGTTATTATTGTTTGATCTTAAAATCACCTATATGTTTTTTTTAAATATCTATTAATTATAGACCATAATTGATAATTAAAATCCTATTCTGGTTAGGCCTTGGCTAGGCTGACATATTTTGACTGTGTCTAGGTCTGGCATAGTTAAATTTTACTCATTTTTGAACGGTACCATAGCTCAGAGAAAACACCTATTCTAATTACTTTATATGTACGTAATAATTATTATTATTCAAAAAAATCATAATGCCTATGTTTAAGACCAATTTCATTTTCAGGTTTCTAAATTGCACAGAAACTGCGCAAGTTGTTAAATTGTGCCCAACAGGCCAATACAGGAGATATAAGTATCCAGTGAAAACTACAGGTTTACATGCTCATAAAAAACTTTTTAATTGCTTTGCACTCTGAAAGTGAATAAAAACAAACTGTTATGTTTGTTAAGTGCTAATATATAAACACTATGCATTTTCCAGTGTTTTCTTTTCTTGTTGTTGGGCCCATACAGGAAATATATCAATAAAGTATCCAATGAAAACACAGGTTTACAAGTTCATAAAATTACCAAAGTATTATAATTACTTTGCACATTGAAAGTGAAGTACTAAAAACAAATTATTGTTATGTTAGTTAAGAGCATATAAACACTACACCCGCTAGTGTTGTTTTTTCCTGATTCAATTGCCATTAACAATCCCTTTCTTATCACAACTATACTTGATGAAAGTACACTTGATGAAACAATGTTCTATACACTAAAGCTCTGTCCAGATGACCAAAAACCGTTGTATGGCCATATATAGTCATGATGTGCCTATATATGGTCATGATGTGATGTCATCATGACCATATTTAGTACCACCATGCTAATGTTCCACTCCAAGATAAGATCATACAATAATTTAAAATAACCATATTAATTTTTGTAGTGCAGTCTGTAAGTTAACATACTGTATTATTTTGATCCAGTGGTGTATCTGGGAGTCCTGAAAAGGTGGGGAGCATGATTGGTGGGGTGCATGATTGGTGGGGTGGGCTGTCTCTTATACACATCTAGATGAGGTGATGTGGGGAGGGGATCAATGGTTAAGTGAGGAGGAGCTAGCTCACAAAATAAGGTGATATGAAGTGCGATTTTTATCTATATGTGCGTGATTATGATTTTTATCTACATGTGCGTGATTATTTTTGCTTTAAACATTTTAAAGGGGGGAGGGAAGAGGGGAAAGAGTGTTTTTTTAAGGGGAATGCAACTCCCGCAAAACCCTCAATATGCCACTGTTTTTAACATGTATTATCATTAGAAGTTGATAACTTATGTGATCCATTTAATTTGGCAATAAATGTTTTCATTGATATCCTTTGCTTTTTCTCTCCATTTGCCCTTTGTTTTTGAATATCCTCTATTTTTAGTTTAAATGAAAATCGTGCAAACAAAATATTTTTGTAAGTATACAAACATTGGCCTTGTAGGGTACTAAAAGAATTTTAAACAAAGTCACAGAATCCTGATTTAATTCTCCAATGGGAACAATATTTCTCAAAGGATGTTTTCATTTCAAATTCTATAGTGCATATAACAAGTATTTATGTACTCTTAGGGCCAAATGTTGTAGACAAGAAAAGAAAAAGATAACAAGATCTAGACACGAGAAAAAAAAAAGAGACTTAAGCCGGAACTGAAGGAGCCAGAGACGGATATGGTCAAATAAATATATAGGTAATTTGTTTCGGCGCAGCTACAAAAATATATACAATATAATTCTAATGGATTTGAATTTTTCCGCACCAAAGTTTATTTCAGACTATTTAGAAACACTAGATCTTCTTCCTTTGTATTCTAATTATCAGAAATGATTCAAAATGAATGACCTTAACCTGTATGTCAAATTTCAATTGGTTGAGGATGTTATATAACTTGGTACAGTATACCATCATTGTTTAGAATAGGGAAAGTCCCTTAAACATTAATATGAGACAATAAAATATTGGATTATTTCTGTTAAAAGCATTATCAAATTTCAATAAGACACACATTAAAACAATTCAATTTTTGCTGATTTCAAGAAAGAATTAGAAGGAATTAATTTCATCTTCTAATTGTAAAAGTGAAAGTTAATGTATTAAAGGTGGTTGGAACAGTCAACATCCTGCAGATGCACTTCAATTTACCTTAGACCCCCGGTAGCCTAATAATATTGCTGCAATACTCGCGGTAATAATTACAGCCTTGCTGTGTCTGAAAGGGTAAACTGGCCACAGATTGAACAACCAAAAAACAAGGTTATTGGGATTGTGCGCAAGTTCTTTAATTTTTCACACTTTCCTCTGTCCAGTGTCATTCGTCTTCGTTTTTTTCAGAAGAACTGTACTGTATTGTTAACATTCAACAGATAACCAAACATTTAAGAAAAAAAAACAAAACCTAGCTACACCGTAGAACTGATTAATATTGCAAAAAGAAAGTCACTGTATGAAAGGTTATACGCTGGCAATCATGCCGTCATGATTACCAAAATGTTTATTATTATTATTATTATATTGCAACAACGTCACAGGGGCTTATGTTTATTGAAATTAATCATCCAGTGTTTTCCATTCTGTGATTGGCTGTTCAGTGCATACAGTAGGTTATTTGCTGCTTCATAGATGTGCTCACTGACAGGACACATCACTATGACAGTTGAGTTACAACATCTTAGTACCGCCATCTGATGTTGTATTCTCTTATATCTCCTGAGTCTTGTTTTCCACTACAATTCACATAATACATAAGCTAACATAGTCAGATAACAAGGCTCTAACTAGGCAATTATGAGGCAATAGCAGAGTATAAACATCAAATCACCGTAAGACAATACCAACTGAATTACCGTACTTCTACACCTTGAACAGGATGCAAGATTGCATGACCATTGAACAAGGAAGATCCTACTGAAATTATTAATCTCTTCCTGGTCCATTGGCATTCAATTATTTCCTATTTTGAAATTCTAATGTCAGATGAACAATGAAGGAAACGTTAAGTAGGTTACGGTAGGCCTACCCATCAAGCACCAGAAGATGAAAGACTTCCTTTAACTGTTTAAGAAGACAGAAATCAATTGCCTTACAAAATAAAATTCACCCTCCAATTCGAGACTATTCTAGTTCGGAGACATTTCTAATTCAAGACAACTTTTTCAAAGTACCAACCAACAGCCTTCTATCTTTGAGACAAAATTAATACTCCAACTGGAAACCGAACCGAAAACCACCCCATATTTTAGGTCCCAAAGGATGTTGGCACTATATATTTTTATTTTACCTTTATTTATAACCTGCTTGTTAACATATAAATATCTTGATTTCTCATTCTTATTATATGTGATGGAGTGATCAACTTCAGTGATAGATTTGCACTGTATGAAAGAGCTGAGTAGTGACAATTCATTGGTTATTATATTCAATCTTTGATTCATATTGTTAGTTCTATTTTGTATATATATTTTTTGTATATCATAAATTCAATGATAGGCTGTAAATTTCTCAAAGTGATTGACTTACTACATAGGAGAACTGCATAGTGGACGTGGCAATTCCAGTGATGGTGTACGACAGGATGTCGCTGGCAACGTTGATTGTGACGGAGATGACACCGTTTGTTGGCTCGCCAACCGCCTCAGTGATGCAAGTAATCCTTTAGAAACAACAAGAAAAGAACAAAGATACTTTGTTAATCCAAAAAAATTTGTCGTAATCTCAAAAGCTCCAATGAGGGCAGTATAAGAGGCAGTAGATCTAAAAAAGATCTATTAATCAATCAATTATTAATCAATCAGTCAAGTGTTTTTAGAGCTCCTCATGAGGGCAGTATAATAGAGGCAGTAGAGCTAAAAAAGATCTATTAATCAATCAGCCGAGTGTTTCCTCATCGGAGCTAAAAAGTATTTTGAATCACCCATCATTCAAATAATCAATCAATTTCATTGGACAATGAATGTTTTTTTTCAAAGAAAAGAAAATAGTATATCAATTAAAAGTGTTTCTAATAAGCACAAAAAATGAGGAAAATATCTTTCATTAAACTCTGTCCGTACTTTCAAATTTTCTTTGACAAAACACTGTTGTATGCCCATATATAGTCATGATGTGATGTCATCATGACCATATTTAAGCACGTCACATGGTTCTGCCAATAGTCTGGACAGGGCTTAAGGAAGAAATAGAAAGTGGAAGAATAGGTTATTGACAGCGTTGTGTCTATGAGGAAGAAGGATGGTCTGAATATAGACAAAAAAATGTTTGACGAGTAGGGAGGTAGGATGGTCTTAATATAGGCATCTAGCAAGTTTAAAGGTAGGCTCCAGTGGGGAAAACATTTTTAATATGTTTTACAGTTGTGATTTTTCAAAAAAAAGGTGTTTGATGAAAACTTGGGAACAGTTAATGAGATAGAGATTTTAAATATTTAAAAACTGAAAGGAAATAAGTATTTACACATTTCCTCAGTTTTAAATGTTTAATAGTCTGTATTTCATTATACTTTCCCAAATTTCTTTGGCTTCAGGAGTTTTTTTTTTATCACATGATATATCACAAGTGGTCTTATACACTGTTTTGAAGGAAAAGGCGTACGATGTAGTCATTTCCTTCAGCACCGCAAAACTACCTACTCAAAAGTTATATTAAGTATCAATAAAAATATTTCCAGAAAATGATAGAGTCCCTTTCTAACTAATTTTATAAACCATGTAAGGTCTCGCCTTTCAAATGTAATAAAATGCTAATTATGAATCTATTCCTACAGCTTGTTAAATTAAGCAAGAGCATTTTTTAGCAAGAGTAGAAGATCTGGTGTATTAAGATACTGCCCTTCCACCCCTCAAGCATCTTAATTTGATTATCATCGCATACTTAGATTATCATTATTAGATTATCAACACATTCAACCTTTGTATTCATAGCAGAGCAACTAATTACGGTAGTTGTTTATGTGTATGTATACCGACCTAGTTAAGCATGTGACTGATTTTGAAAATTTCTTGGAAAAGTATTGAGGAAAATAGAAAAGGAAAGAAGGTAGGGTACACAGCCACTGTTCCGAACGCTATGATACCAATTTCCTTATTCAAATAGCTTCAATTTCAGTTGCACCTTGCCCGGAGAGCCCCTTCGGTTCAATTCCCATTGCTGCCTCTCCTTGTGTTTCAGCTAGAGGGCTGAAATACAAGTTACATAGTGCACCGTCTTTCGGATGAGATGTTTAAGCCGTTGGTCCCATGTGCACTTATGGCCCATGTGTACACACAGTACACTCTTTGGAAAAGAGTAGGGGATTGTCTCCCAGTGTACTGTCCAATCACCACCAGAAGGACCAACTGGAAATAAGTCTTCTTCTAGACTTTCGTGGCCAATCGATGATCTGCAATCATCTTTCGTGGCCAATCGATGATAAGGGCATACCACCATCTTAAAGATGTATTGTCCCATGCTAAATATAAAAAAAAATCATTATAATATATTTTTTTTTAAATTAACTTGCCCATTTTGAAGTAACGTAAAAGTTTCAAGTTGAACATAGAAATTAGTGTATTTAAAAAATGTCTACCCATCAGTTTACAGCAAAAATGATAGAAACACTTCCAGTCACTAGAAGTGTTTTATTATTTTTATTATAATATTTTTTGTTTAAAAATCAGGGTTCACATTTTTTAAATTACATGTACGGTACAGTATTTATTTCCTTTTTTCTTTTTTTTATGCACATGTTAATAATTTGTATGCTATTGCAATAGGAGCCAGTTTATTTCAAAATTATTTTTTTATGATTTTTTGACATTAGCAAGGAACAATACATCTTTAACACTTACACATGAATATTGCTCTTGTCTGGAAGAGGTATACAGAAAGCTCCTCCAGGTAAATGAATGCTGTGAGTCCCTCCTGCCATAATGATGCCAATTCCTAAATTGTCTCCAGTTAATGTCAACTCTGTTCCTCCTCCCAAAGGTCCTGACAATGGAGAAATCTAATAAAATGAAAACATTAGCAAGTGTTTCATCATCATTATTATATTTACTACAAAACATTATTGTTAGTAGTTATATTTTAATTTCTTTTTTGTTTAACCAAATTTAAATGTATTCAGTTAAGGCATTTCATCCATCTGCAGCCAGCTGCACTTAACTGACGCGTTGTTGACGCAATGATGATAACAACACGCCTGTTAAAACCAAGTTCCTGACTATGAGATAACCAGATGAATTTCTTTTATCGATGTATCGATGGCGTGCATTTCGATACTTGGAGTATGTATTATACTATCTTATCTGAGATTAATCAGTGGACCTTTTGGTTATTGTTATATTATCATTTGTTTTTCCAAGTATCATATTTGGTTTTGTATTTATATTATATACAGAAAATAAACTGTTATTCTTGAGACAACCAACCAGTGGTTTTACCTCAAAAACATTATTATAATATTACACATGGTGTACCGGAAGTTTTGTGATTCTATTATTCTTAGTATACAATTAATGAATATCATGAATGATGAAATAATAATGTTGAAAAAAATATAATAATGCATTGTAATGATTATGAAAACAATGCAGATAATGATCTTAAAAATGATGATGTTAAAGATAATAAGAAAAGGAAAATGCGATAGAAAAAAAGAAGAGAATACAACGGCCCTTTCACGGAAGTAAAAACACTTTTTATTGTAGAGGGAAGAGCCAAAACGAGAATCGCATGATGGACCTATTGTTCCAGCTGGATTAAAGTAACATTCTGGCAAACCCATTTTGTTTTAAGTGGTTTACTTTCCTTTGGAAACTAGCCAAATGATTAAAAGAAAAAACAATCATATACACATAGATATATACATTATATATACATTTATATATACATTATATATACATTTATATATACATTATACATATACATTTTATACATATATAAAACCAAGGCAATTCAACAACAGGACGCACATCTCCGCTCATGAACATAGCGTGTTCTTTGATCTTACTACAGTAGTTGCAAGTACTTCCATCAAATATTAGTCTATGCATGCCATACGTTTTATGGTATTAGTTACTATTTTAATAATGTTGGGTACTTTGCAATGTCTGTTACATCTGATTTCTTTTGACCATGACCTTGTTAAGAATGAAAAGTTATAGCAATTGAAAATTTACGATTTTTATAAAAATTCACGTTCTTATATAACATTAAACTTTCATTTTGACGAGCATTTGAGTAGATACTAAAAATATATTTATTTTTTCCTGTGAAGTAAGTCTCATAAACCACACTATACCACACCACTGGTAAAATAAATGTTGAAATAACAAATATAGTCTAATGTAAGGGCAAAAATTCATTTCCTTTGTGATCACTGCACAATGTGCTATTATCATGGCAACTGTCATGCGTGTGGGTAGATGTCATACACTGACGGTTAATTTTGGTTAGGCTGCTATGATTTTTGTGGCGTTCAGGGCATGTTAAGGGAATTGGGGCGCGACGCGTAGAATGTTGATGCCAGAGTTAAAACATTTGATGTCCCGAGATGTGAATTGCCTTGGTAAAACCAAGTACACATATTAAGGTATTCTACATATTTATATACTTTTTATATAAAACTTACTTCATATATGGCCGGAGGACACGATGACTGGCTCCAGACAATACCAGTACCAGAGCATTCATCACTAGTAGAGCAGTAAGAACCACACCAACCGCATACCACTGGGTCTTCTGTTGTTACACAAGTTGAACAATCTCGATACTGACTGCAGTCATGTATTGGTACCCGAAAGAGCTACAAATAAAGACGTAATAAAATGTCAAAAATAGACGGATTAATTAAATCAGCGCTAATGCACATTAGTACTCCACCCTAACCCTAACATTAAGATAGCAAGACTGGAGTTGAGGTTATTATATGTTAGGGTGAGGGTGGAGTACTAAAGTGCATTAGTGCTGATTTATTAAATCATTACCAATTGAATGCCATTGATTGCATACATCATTGTAGAGAGACTGGGGCAACAGTTGCTTTTCAATTTCTAAGCCTTGAGTTTTGGGGTTCAAGCCCACAGAGTGAATTTTTTATTTCTTGGGTCAAACTAATTATGTACCAGGTCACTTTGACCAACAAAAAAAAAATCCGTAGCCTGCATAACATTTTCTTTGGTCAAACTACCAAAGTTGTGGTGGAAAATAAAGAGAGCAGAGCAGCCAGAAAAAATTAACTGTTTTTCCCTAATTCCTAGGATAACAAGACAACAATTTATTTTCCTGAGCATGCTCTAATACTGAACGCAGTGCTGAACTTTAAACAGAATGTATCCATGATCACACTGACAACGCATGCACCGAATTAGTGACAGATATAGACAACTATATCTCTAAACATGCAAAATGCCTTATACGGACACAAATTATGATGATGAAGATTACTTATTAAGGATTTATAGCCATGCAACAAAGATGTATTAGCATTTACTCTAGATATATAGTAATTCCACGGACAAGATTAAGTAAGTGCCGGCTTCCTTATTGTAAATCAGCTGTCAAAATAATTATGCTTATTCACTTCGATGGTCTCATCAAATCAATGCAAAGAGTGTCTTGCAGGGCTTGTATATGAAATCATTCATTTTTCCTCCTGAGCCTTGTCAGATTAATATGCCAATTTGATACAGCGAACGATGCACTAAAGGTTGTTAATAATCAAGATTGCCTGTGGGAAAGTGCTGTTCTTCATTTTCTCCCCCTCTACATTAAATCCTGTGTGATTAATGATACCATTATCTATCGAGGGGAAATTTAAAGAAAAACATGTATGATTGCGGCTTGACATTTCGTTTTTATAGGCAGGGGAAAGAATAAAAAGTGAGGAGTATCCATCACAGTTTCTGTTATGTCCAATCATAATTAGTTTTGAAATCTTACTGTTTGCGGCGTGCCTACAAATATATACTGCATATCGAGGCTATACGGCATGTCTTGAATAATCGGTCCAGGGGGATCCATCGTTTGGTTACGATACGCAAAGACACGACCAGAGTAACTTCCAGGTGGGGGTGGTCCTTCCTCATCATGTATTGGTCTCAAAATATACTGCAGAAACAAAATAAAAAGAAAATGCTATCTTTATTTCTAATCAATATATATATTTATGTAAGGATACTAAAGAATTTTGAATGTACTGCCATTTTCACTATCTGTGCAAACATCCCACAAAACTGAGAATGGCTTCATTTAGAATTCAAATCTGACTGGAAGCCACTATCTTTTACACTTCTTTGTACATGCTAATAGTTGAACAGCACTAGTTCTAGATGCATTGCAGATAACAGAGATCAATATTCTACTTATCTTATGTTAGTGAGGTATTATTTTGTGTGGGTGTGTGGGTGTGTAGGGGATCAAACTCCCAGTGGGGTCTAAGGGTGTAATTAAATAAACCATGTATCAATATCTGAAAATAATGTCAGAGTCTCATCAAACAAAGTTATATCTGACAAACATAAATATGACTATGTTAACTCTCCTTTAAGATAAGGTAGGCATACACAATCAGATTTATGTATGTTTATATTTCCCTTGATTCTTCTGCCCTCTAGTGTCTCAGCCGTGCAATTCCAATGGTAACAACTGAGGTAATTAGCTGACTAGAAAGCAAACACAATTACCCAGTTCTCTACTTAATTAGATAGCATAATCAAATTTTTGATAATATGGTTACCGTAAGGTGAAACTTGATAAACTACATTCAGTAAATTTGACTTGCTAGAATCAGACAGATTTTGAAATCAATGAAAAGGAAGTAATAAGTATCTTTGATTTATAATTCAAAAATATAAACAAATTGACTATTTTAGATATTTATAATAATGGAAGTATATAGTATAAAAATATCTATAAATACATTATGAATATGTATATGTACTACAAATTAAAAGCTGTATTTTATTAGATTCTTGTACATTTTATTTATTGAAGCAAATGTGGAATCTTGATTTTCTCATACTATATACATATATATACACACACATCATTATATATATATATATATATATATATATATATATATATTTTTTTTTTATATATATATATCAGATTAAGTTTGCTCCTCAGCACTGCCACGTTTTTGTTTTGTTTATAAATATATCATATACAGTATAATTTATATACAGTAGGCCTTTATATTGGTTGATCTTAATCTAGTTATTCGCAATTTTACATTTTCTCTCTTTAAAGTCTAAATGATCTCAGTTCATATTAAAATTTCAGGACATAAATAAAAATAAGACTTTGATATCCTCAGAAACATAAACAATTTCAGATATTGACTTTTCTAATTAGCAATACATTGTTATTCTGAATTTCTTTAACCATTGTGGCACTGCAAACATATTAATATAAAAAAAATTGAAATATACGTTTAAAGAAAATAAACTCATGATATTCGTTTACATTACCAATATGTTTGCAGACGTGCTAGGATGTCGGACCATAAATTAAGAATAACAATGACATAAGACACTTTTGCTACAAGCTTTATTTGTCTAGCATGACAAATACAAGTTTTTTTTTCACACATCCATAAATGTATTACTCTCAGAATACAGAAATCAGAGAGGTCTAACTGAAAGACATTCACACTCTCAAATTTTTTATGAGACAAATAGCCCATATTTGGGTGTAAGGTGACATCATCATGCCCATATATGGGCACATCACACTAATTTGTCTATTCACACTATCAAATTTTATGTGACAAATAGCCCATATTTGGGTGTAGTGTGACATCATCATGCCCATATATAGTCACATCACACGAAATTTGTCATAAAAAATGTCATAGTGCGAACAGAGCTTTATAGACGAGACCCATACTTAGGTGAACATCTTGTCCATAACAAACTCTATTTTCTATATATAGAGATAAATTGCATGGAACTTCAGATTAATTAAGGAGCAAGCCATGACAATGATAATGACAAAATAATGAGTCCCGACAATAGGCTTACAGTGGGAGTGTGTGTATACCGCTCGTCATGTTTTTTGTGGGGTTTTTTTTGTTTTTGTTTTTGTTTTTGCTACTTTTAACTCATCCATGCTTTCTGTGTTGGCAATTCACTAGAATAACTGTACAAGTATATACAAGATTGTTGTGACTTTTTAGTGAACTTTCTAGACAGGTCTTATCTAGCAGCTTTCTATTTTGTCAATTCAATTGAAAACTTGTAACTCATCAAGCATGGCATAATATTTCATAAACTTGTTTTTCATTTTTATCTTTAGCTCATGACCCATTCCATGATTACTCCACCGGATATACTCTTACAAGTTCAACTGCCAGATAACAACAAAGTCTCTACTACTGTACCCCACTCCCAGGGGCAGTAGATACAAAAATCAACAGTATCTTCAAACGGTCAACATGCACCAAGTTCAATAGTTTACGAGAGAGAGAAATTGTGATCAGAAGCAACGAGGTGTAACAGAATACGGATGATGAGAATTGATGCCTGTCAACGACAGGCTCGTCTAAGGTATTGGCTCTAATTGGCTGGATCGATACACACAACCATCTACAATACTCACATCTTATTTACTACTTGAGCACCTTTCTTAATTATACGCATGTGAAACTTAGCTCAATTATTCTTATCTTAACGCACATTCTATTGAGCTGCAAAGTAAATTTTACATCTTTGGAAATATACATGAATCTGTAAATTGAAAGAAATGAGTTTCCTTCTTAAGAAGCTATTCTCATAATTTAATATTATTTTGTCCAAAATATTTAAAATTATTTTTTCAAAATAAAATGTTAGTAATAATCATTTCATTTTTCAAAATAAAATGTCAGTAATATTTCATTTCATTTTTGTATTTGCTAAAATATAGCACATTAAAATACAAAGAATAGACAAACAGGTCTGGCAATAACAAAAACAACAATTAGAGGGTACACTGTATTAATAAGATTTTACAGTTTGTAAAGAATTGGAACATAAAATTGAAGCCTTCGAAATGTGGGTTTACGGAAAAATGACCCTTACTGTATTTCGTATAGACAGCACAAAACTAACAATGAAGACATACTACAACTAGTAGATAAGAAGCGTACACTCCTTTGAAATATAAAGAAACGGAAATGTCAGTACCTTGGGCACATAATCAGAGCCAATAATATTCAAAGAAATATCATGGAAGGAAAAATCAGAGGTAGGAGACCACGGGGAAGACCTAGGCGGACATGGATGAGGGAAGTTTGCCAGTGGACCAACCTAAGACATGTCAATGTGACAATAGCTGCACAGGACAGACAACAATGGAGATCCGAGGTAGGGAAAGTCCTGGTTGGACAAGCCACCACATAATAAGTAAGTAAGTACAGTTTGATTTGGTAACATTTTGACATGTCTGTTGGATCGAATCAGGTTGGCATGTGATGAACTTCAACTGAATGTGTTCCACTCATGACAGAGAAGTAATCGATTCAAAATGGAAACTAAAACTGGGGTGAATTAAAAGTCAATTTTTATTGTTTATTGATTTTAAAAGATGAGTTCAGTAAGTGAATAATTTCAGTAGGAGTTTAATTGTACAACATCCTACCACCTTGATCCCAAAAGTAAAACTATCCGATGCTCTGGAAGCAATCCAGGAAACGATGATTCAAAGCTGAACACTTCCATGAACTGATCTGCCTCAATCCTGATTGGCCGAAAAGTTGCCTTGTTTATACTGAAGAAGCTACACTGCAATCGAAACTTGATAAAGGCAATATAGTTTTTATTTAACCTAGCTGAAGTTTAGACTTAGGATGGACCTCGACGAGGCCTGGCCTGGGAACCTTGCTAAATGAAACTGTAAAAATGTCTGTTCTCACAATAGTTTTGTTGCATGTGAGCCCATATGTTTGTTCTGCAGCATATGGATGAATGACTATTTTAGCATGGCATCTAGTTCTGTCTTGAACTCTCGAGGAACTATTAAATGAGGAAATTTTGACAAACAAGAGTACTTAAGACTAAAAAAAAGATACAACATACACACATTACTGTCTCCATTTGTATCTATACTGTAAATATCTATCTTTCACTTTTACACTTTAAAGAAAAAAAAACAGATAGTGACTATAACAAAAATGTCTTTAAAACTACAAAGATATATTTTTTTGAGCAAGAAGCTTGAAAATAAAATTCAATATTTGAAATGCTTAAGTTGAAATAAATTATTACCTTCCATTTGAAAATTAGAACAAGATAATTCCTGCAAATTGTAGATGCATAAAAATTATTACCGTTCCTAAATTCTTCACATTGACTGTTAAATTGTTAATCGATTTTAAGAATTCTTTTAGTGTAATTCAGTCATCACTGAAAACCAGATTGTTTTAAAAGTTAGTACCGTATTGTCTCTAATAAACGCCCCTCTTCTAATAAACGCCCCCTCTGAGTTTTTTTTTTCATTTTGCAATGAGTGGCCAATCAATTAACATGGGTATCCAGTCCATAAAAAGGTTGACAAACAAGGAGTAATTTTCTCCATGGTAATACCGTACTGTGTGCTGCTGCTGCTTTCTTTGATATGAAATGAAATAAATACTACTCAAAAAAGCTTACCCTAAAGTTTGATGTTTACTGTCTTCACGATCTTTAGGCCGACCAGCCCTCCTTAAACTAACGTTAGAATACCGCACTTTCGGCGGTAAAGAACAATTAAAACCTCATAAAAAAGGCAACTGATCTGTTTACCCATAATTGAATCCAAGGACACCAGTGTTAAACACTCAGTACTTATCCTTGATAATGTGTTAATCCAATTAATATAGTGAGATAACGTAACATTAATTTATCGAGGGCGGGTTGAGCTAATCACTAGGCCTAGGCCTATTTTGTGTTTCTCTCATGCTATTTTGTTAGCCTTGTAAAAACAGGGTAAGCAACAAACTGACAGCAAACGACGGGTAATCGTGTATTATTAATGTGTTGCGTGTTTGACGCTGATTTGATTCAAGGTGTCTGGTGAATGAAGTCTATACAGTAGTGAGAATGTTTCTTCAAGTTGAGGGCAGTATTTTGCGTGCGGTGGCAGCTACG